GGGGGACGTTCAAGTACTCCACCCCCTGCCATTTTCTCTTCCTGGGCCAGTGACTTGATTGTGGCCTCCCCACTTCCCCCCAATCCCTCTCTTGGACTCTCCCTGGTGTGCACCCAGCTCACCTGGAAGGGCCTGTTCTTTAGTGAGATTCACCTGGGGCAGCGATTCGGTTGACTGTGGGCGCTGGAGGAGGAAAAAGGGCCGGGGGGGGGTCCCTCCTGGGCTGGGTCTGGCTCCTGCGTTCTGCTTGGCCCATGCGAGGTGCTGCGGCTGCCCTGCAGGTGGAGAGCGCCCAGGCCTTCACCTGGCAGTCCCAGCTGCGGCACCGCTGGGACGAAGAGAAGAGGCACTGCTTTGCCAACATCTGCGACGCCCAGATCCAGTACTGCTACGAGTATCTGGGCAACACGCCGCGGCTGGTCATCACCCCGCTCACTGACCGGTGAGCGCGCACCTACCGCCTGGGAGGCCTGTCCCTAAACGGTTCACATGCTCCCGTGGGCCCCTTATGCACATTTTTGCGTGGTCAGACTGGAACGTCAGCTGAGGCTGGAAGGACCCGGCACCTGGGGCGGGCGGACCTGCGTTCAGATTCGGTCCTGCCACCTGCGAGGTGCTCAGCCTCGGGCTCCGTGTCCTTTTCTGACACTAACCGTGTGGCCTTGGGGGAGTCACTGAAGCTCTCTGAGAGCCTGCGAAGCAGGAGTAATGTTTTATGAGTCCTCGTGAGTTTGCTGAGAACTGAGTGAATTATTTAACAACAAAAAGCACTTAGGCCAGAAGCTGCTCCAAGTAAACCCTCAACAAGTGCGGGTGTCATTGTCATGACTGTTGCTGTTTTGCTAGCAGTGCACACCTCCCCAAATGCCACAGCTGGGAAAGCAGGACAGTGCTTGACCACATCTCAAGTCCTTCCTGCCCTCTCCTTTTGTGTGATAGTAACACAGTTAACTGCCACCACAATGAAAGAGCAGGTGGGGAGGCCGTGGGGTCACAGGCACATGAGATAATCAGTGTCCCTTACAGATGCTACATCACCCTGACCCAGTCCCTCCATCTGATCATGGGCGGAGCCCCCGCGGGCCCCGCCGGGACTGGCAAGACAGAGACGACCAAGGACCTGGGCAGAGCCCTGGGCACCATGGTGTACGTCTTCAACTGTTCCGAGCAAATGGACTACAAGGTACGTGGCCGAGGCCTGGAGGTGCCACATTCAAGCTAGAGGCCTGGGACGCCTGCAAACCGGAACCCCGGGGAGAAGGCGCCAGGGCATCCCCTGCAGCCGGCTTGTCTGAAGAGGCTCCCAGGGTGGACAAACCCAGTCCCAAATATCCTGCCCCCGCCCCTGCTGGTCACCCTTTCCAACCTCATTTCCAAGATTGCCCAGCAACTGGGGCCTCCGGACAGCGGCGAGCCCCTCCTTCCTAGCTCAGCATGGGATGTTGGGTAAAAGCATGGTACAGGTGGGCTTGGGAGGGGATCAGGAGATGGGCCCGGTCCCGTGGGTCATTGGAGACTTTGTAGGGTGGTGTCAGTCCCTAAAGGGCCCGACAGGAGAGGAGATGCCTTGGTAGTCCAGGCCAAAGCAGCCTCTTGCAGGAGGGGTAGGTGGAGGCAGATGGGGTGCCCACTGAGCTCAGGACCCTGGGCCTGCAGAGGGCCTCCCCCACCCTCTGTATCTGAGCCTCTGGGAGAGCCCCTGGGGCTGACGACAGTCCACACCAGGCTCCTAGATTTTAGAAAAGTGAAACCTGAAGTTGGATTCTCCCTAGAAGAAATTTAATATTCGCCTGGAATCCCATATGTAAATGTTGAAGAATTGTCCTGATTACCCATCCAGCTGGGGCCTGGAGTGACACAGACATCTAGAGAAGACATCCAAGTGCTTGAAGTGCTTGCCGCCCCCTGCCTCCGCCTTGGAGGGACGCCCCCTCCTTTGTGTGCACAAAAAGAAAAGGGCTAAAAAAAATGCAAGGCTTGAATTTTACGTGAATGTGCCTGTCTGAGCCTCCTGGGTTGGGGGACCTCCATGAAGCCTCCATCCTAGGGTCTGGGAGCCATGGGGGTCAAGCGGCACCCAGCCCTCTGCAGTATTAACCCCTTCTAGGGAGTGAGCCGTCCTGCCTGCTTGCCTTCTGAAGCCCCTAAAGGCCCCCGAGCCTGACCTTTGTTTGGAGGCTCCCGGCGGACCCACCCATCTCCTCCTTTGTCTAATGCGCTCTTCTCCAATCTCGCCCTTTCCAGTCCTGTGGAAACATCTACAAGGGCCTGGCCCAGACCGGAGCCTGGGGCTGCTTTGACGAATTTAATCGAATCTCAGTGGAAGTCTTGTCTGTGATTGCTGTGCAGGTAGGGCCCCTGCCGAGTCTCTGGGTCAAGTAGGATAACTGGCTGCTTTGCTGACTGCAGGCCTCTCGCTTTTCCATAATCTCATACACCAGATAGCCCCTCCTTGCCCGCGTGCAACACTCCAGGCACTGAGGGGTGGTGTGACCCCCGCCCTGTCCTCCAGGGGCCCCCAGTCTGGCTAGGCACACAGAAGTGAACACCACCACGGGACAGAATTCAAGGGCAGAGTCACAGTAGACAGTGAGAACAAGTTTAATAAAATAGATAAGAAATACAGGTTCCACGGAGAGAGTGCAGCACAGCTGCAGAGACTGAGCAGGGCTCACGCAAATTTAACACAAAAATAAGTTCAGTGCAGACGTCAAGTCTAAACAAAAGCCAGAAAAACATATTTAAAGTTCAGTACAGAGTGCAGGCTGGCTCAGGAGAGTGAGCAGCTGCTGCTGAGAGTAAGTCAGACACAAAGTAAAACATGCACACCTCAGCCAGCAAAGTGCAGGCTGCCCGGGGAAGTGCGCAGCAGCTGCCCTGGCCGGGACTCGGCTTTTATAGTTTCTCTGTCTCGTGACTACCTAGTTAAGGGGGTGGTTCCCAGTCTGTGCTCTCTGTTGAGCATGCCCAGCCACTGGCATCACGTAAGGCAGCCCCCTGTGGTCTCACTTTCCCAGTGTTGGTGCTGGAAATAGGTCTAACTGGTAAGAGTAAGGTTCCTCCAGGGGAGAGCTCAGAGGAGGGGACCTGAGACCTCAGGGAGTGGCTGGAAACCCAGAGGCATGTCCTGAAACCTGAGCCCAGGGAGACTGAGCACCTCCTGTATCGTGGCTACAAAAGGCAACAGGAAGGGTCCCATGGGATGGAAACGTGTCAACATCAGGACCTTGACTGTGATAGTGCACTATGGTCATGTAAGATGCTCCCCCGGGGGCCACTGGGTAGTGGGTACACAGGACCACTTCCACATTATTGCTTAGAGCTGCATGTGAACCCATGACAGTCTCAACATTTAAAAGCTTGATTAAGAGAAAAGCAGGAGAGCACCCTGCAAATTCACAGCCGCAGACTTTAACAGAAACGAAGACCCATCCGGCCCGTCGAAGCTGGTCATTTCCCTGTTGACATGTCTGTGTACCAACCATTTAGGTAAAGTGTGTCCAAGATGCAATTCGGGCCAAGAAGAAAACGTTTAACTTCCTTGGAGAGATGATAAGTCTCATTCCCACTGTGGGCATCTTCATCACCATGAATCCTGGCTACGCTGGACGCACTGAGTTGCCCGAGAACTTGAAGGCCTTATTCAGGTGTGTGGCTGCGGTGGCTTAGGTCGGTATCCCAGGGCCACATGCCAGCAGAGGAGGGGCAGGGGCCAAGCCAGGGACGGAAGAGAAGACAGGGCTCCAAGACTGGGGGTCAGCAGGCAGGCCAGGTCCTCTTTAAAGAGCTCTCTGTCTTGGGCCGGCCCGGTGGCACACTGCTACAGTGCGCCACTTGGGAGCGCGGTGGCGCTCCCGCCGAGGGTTCGGATCCCACATACAGACCGGTTCCCGCTCACTGGCTGAGCGAGGTGCGGGCGCAACACCGAGGGTTGCGATCCTGTTGCCGGTCCCGGTCCGGTACGGGCGCGACCCTGAGGGTTGCGATCCGTTGCCGG